CGCTAATTCACACACGCCGTCGTTCCGTGGGATCAGCGGGAAGAACAATCTGCTGTGGGAAGCGATGGGGCGACTCAAGAAGCTCAATTAACGCCCTTGAGGCAACGAAGGGACCAGCAGGAGCCAATTGGCTCGGAGAACTGCTGCCCACCAGGAGTCCAGCTGGGAAGGATACTTTATTTGGAAAATCCAGGGAAACGCGCTGGAATGGTGCTAAAACACCGAGGGATTTGCACCCATCTAGTACAAAGGTGATACAAACCGACATGATACCAGTGCAAGTTTCATGAAACTTTTTATTCAACAAGTATTTCATTATGATTCTGCCAAGATGATCAAATGAACAGCAAGGCATAAAAAACATGAAATAGTTAAGAGATTTTATTCTAATAGCTTTAATTACAGTGCTCGTTTTGTCGAAATGAAAACTGAAAACAAGTATACAAAACAGTTGATTACTAATTGTGTATTGAAAGCAATAAAGGTTTCCACAACACTAAATAAACCAGTTCTGATAGTTCCTCGAGTTAAAGTTTAACAGCTCCAGCTTCTTCAGTGTTTATCAAAATACAAAAGAAAAAAGTAAAGAGGTCTTTTTTTGTTTGTTTTTTTTTTTTTTTTTTTTTTCTGATGGCAAATCTGAACCTTGCAGTATGAGGGATGCCAAGGGTTTTCACACATATACAGATATGGGATTGTTCCAAAATGGGATTGAGTACTTCTAGAGTGGAATGACTCTCCAAACTCTCATGCTTTTTTTTTTTTTTTTATTTCCTAGATGCTATACATAGATGTTTGGTGGTTTTCATGGCAATTCTTACGTTAAGTACAGTACTTTCTGCCTATAGAGCTCAGGACTAGGACAGGCTGTGCCTTCTGTGGCAAGGTTTGCCTTCTGGAGTGGTTTACGCACCAGAAAAGTACAAAACACTTTTGACAAATACAACGGGCTAAAAAAGGTTGACCGCTGGAAATTATTCCAGTGCAATGGAAGCGATAAATCTCCCCTGAACCAAAAGTCAGATGTTTAGCATGAGTCTGCCAAAGCTCATCTAAACCAGGTCCGACAAACCGAGTAGGAACAAATAGGAGCACCTAACGCGAGCTGCAGGAAGAGCCAGAGCTCTGCTCGTCATGATCCGTTCTTTAACCCGACGAAGCTCATCGAGCATTGCTTCACCATTTCCAAAGAATCAAGTCACCACATTAGAGCCAGAACAGCAGAAGCAAAAAATGTCAAACGTTTTGGATGTTGGAAGTGTTTTTACTTTTCCTCGACTATTTAAAAAAATACAGGATTCAGGTTAAAAACCAACCACCGAAATGGATCTCACAACCCAACCGAGATAGTATTCAGCTCTACTGCACAAGGACCACTGGCAACCCTTATGGTAACCCACTTAAATCCCTTCCGAGTACTAAACAGTGAGTTGATTCTTTACAATAAAAAAGCTGAGTAATATTGCATAGGAGTACCAGAAACTGCCTCATTGGAAACAAAAACTATTTACATTAAATAAGAAACCTAACTGTTTTCAGGCTTGTATTTGCCACATTTACAGCATGATGCAATATATACTGTGACAAAAGAAATGAAAACAGCTTCCGGCACTCGATACCACAAAGTAGCACAGTTTGCCACATTAGAGTAAAGCGAAGGGCGAACAGGAGGAAATAAGAGGGAGGGGTGGAAAAAGAGGGAAGAGGAAGGTTTATGGTTTCATTTCTGGTTTCGGAGCTGATTGGACAACCAGTCCAGTCCTTCATAGAGACCGTCCCCGCTAGTGGCACAGGTTGCCTGGATGTACCAGTTCCTGTGACGAAGAGAATGCAGTCCGAGTTTGTCTGTGATTTCTGCTGCATTCATCGCGTTCGGCAGGTCCTGGGGGAAGGAACAAGAGTCATTTTCTCCCCTACTCGCCGAGAAGAAGCACCCGCCTCCCTAAACCGTTGCTGAGCACCAGCTCTAAAGCCATTAGAAGTTAAGAGCTCTTAGAGCTGCTCTTTCAGCAAAATTCAGTGGATTACTGCTACACTCAAGCCGTTCCCCCTGTACTGACAGAAGCCTCAAGGTCTACCACCACGTCCTACGGAACATTTCTCTTCAGGAGCCAGCTGACGCTCGGATTGAGTCCTCCGGCCCCTCGGCGCCAACCCAAAACCGCTTACAATTCCAGGGCTGTTTCCTGAGGGGAAAGTTTTGTTTTGTTTTTTTGTTGGACTTGAGCTTAAATTTCAGTGGAGTGAGTTTTTCTTTCTATGGGGTGAAATGTTTCATAGATTGGGTTAACAGAAGCTTGGTATCACTAAAAAAAAAAAATCAATCATTGACGCTGTGATAAAATTGACACGGGCCATATTCTGTTGTAAAAGTTCACGTTATAGAACGATGTCACTACTTATCCCTGGAAGGGGCTGTTGATAAATGTAGGAAATGTTTCCCCTCAGGAAATGTTTTCTGTGACTGCAGTTATGATTTAAGATCACTTTTTCCTCAGAGAGCAGCACTCAGCTCAGCACTGCGCCTTCCCTGCTCCTGGGCAAGGCTGACGGCTCCTTATCCTTCACGACCGAGCCCGCGCAGGCAATGAAGCTAGTCCTTCTCTGCATTTACTAGCCATATTTAAGACCCTCGACATTCGGGTTTAAGCTACCAAGGCCTCTGCGTGCAAGAGATGGCCTCGCTTCGCAGCCTGGAAGAGCAGAGCTCCCAGGTCACACACAAGCACGTTACAAGTCAGCCCAGGGCTTCCACCTCGAACACCCCAACTGAATTCAGGGAGGTTCTGGCATTCTGGCCTTCCTCTGTGTTTGGAGGAAGCTTGGGCAGCTGCTGTACTTGAGCCAAGCCAAGCTTAAAGAGCAAACTGGTAGAATTCTTCCTTAAAACTGAAAAAGGGAAGAATTTCCATTAGCCCAGACTGTTTAGAAGGATGCTCCTTTCAGATGAGGACAGGGTAATTTAAGCCGTGGGTTTGCTGTCTTCAACAAACCTGAACGGACAGTTACCGAGAGCTTATCCACTCCTACACTGAAAACACGACCATCAAGCTCAAGCACTCACGAGTACGTTGTACATTTTCAAGAGCTCTTACAGAAAGACACCTTTCTGGGGCATACCTGTTTGTTAGCAAACACTAATAAAACAGCATCTCTAAGCTCATCTTCTGCCAACATTCTCATAAGCTCTTCTCTGGCCTCATTCACCCGTTCTCTGTCATTACTGTCCACCACAAAAATCAGACCTAGAAGCAAGCAGACAATCAGAATAAGCTTCAGCAGAAGTTATGCACAAATGAGAAGCACTTCTGGAGGTCAGGACTACGCTTGGAAGAGAAAATAACGCAAAGCAATTCAGTACGTATCAGAAAAACCAGTTTTCTTATTGTAATCTCGTGTCTAGAGGTCAGGACTACGCTTGGAAGAGAAAATAATGCAAAGCAATTCAGTACGTATCAGAAAAACAGTTTTCTTATTGTAATCTCGTGTCTGACAAAGTCTGTTCTTGCCAAAAGCTGGTGAAGGCGAGCGTTGGTTTGCATTTGTGTTTTTGGAACTTGTGCCCTTCACCTACACAACCACTCGGTATTTTCCAGTGAGTAGCAGCTCCTGAAAGCCTGTGACAGGGCTCAAATGCACGCAGGTTAGGAAGGTGCAGCACTGGAAAAAGCAACAAACTCCGGGGCTGTTGGAGCCTGTAGTAAAGGCTCTGCTCTGAAGGGAAGGCGGAGAGCTGTGATGCTCATGGAAGAAAAGCAAAATTCTGCACTCACTCTGAGTCAGATGGACAAGGAAGACTGGTTTCTGGATTTCTTCCCTCTTTGAATCCCCACTAGCTTAAGAGAAGAGCCAGAGCAGCACACAAACACACCCTTTTATATCCCTTCTCCCCCCTCCCCGGGAAACTTGCAAAATTATCTTGGTAAGGACATTAAAAAAAAAAAAAAACACTTTTAGATTCTGGAAAGACGGGATTTAAGCGTTTGGACTCACCTTGTGTGTTCTGGAAATAATGGCGCCAGAGCGGTCTGATCTTATCCTGACCGCCTACGTCCCAGACTGTGAAGCTAATGTTCTTGTATTCTACTGTTTCCACATTGAAACCTGCAAGAGAAATCGTGGCAAAAATCTCAGTCAAACATAGCTGGTCCTGGACCTATTGTATTTACCGAGGCACACTCACGTCATCGTTAAAAAAGTTATCTGAAATTTTAAGTTTACTGTAAATAAGCAGAATCCTGCACCCAAGCCCTCAACACAAACAGAGGTTCTCTGGAACTCCTGCTGCCACCCCCACTGCAATCACCCTAATGAACAACAGCCCTAATTGCTACCTGAGCAGCTACAAAAGCAGAGCAAACTGTGCTGCATCAAAAAAAGGGCTTCAAGGACAGCAAATAAGGTATGTCTCTGATCACACAGTTCTTGCAGTCACCCTCCAAAAAAAAAAAGCATGTCACCCTCTGCTTCTCAGTTTAATTTACTTGATGCCACACCACACTCGGGAGGGCAGACTGCCCTTCTGTGGCCCATAAAGGCTCGTTCCACAGGTGCCTGAAGAGAGGGAATGGAGTGAAAAAAAAACCCCAAAAGTCACACAATCTCCTCCCATGCCAGAATATTTGGCTGTGCCACCTTCATGCCACGGTTTCACCAAGTGTTTGTTCTGACAGTCAAGTCACTTAAACCAACAGAGCAGCAGCTGAGGGAAGATACTGCTGCGAACAAGACGACCCAAATCGCAAAGCAAGAAGTTATAGAAATGTAAAAAAATCTTACCTATAGTAGGAATAGTAGTTACTATTTCACCAAGTTTAAGTTTGTACAAAATAGTAGTCTTTCCCGCAGCATCCAGACCAACCATTAGAATACGCATTTCTTTTTTGCCAAAAAGGCCTTTGAAGAGGTTAGCAAAAATATTTCCCATGCTGGAGATATGTTCTCACTGGCCAGCGAAGTCTAGAGGAAAAAGATCACAGTATCACTCACGAGTTGCCAACGGCGGTGTTCCGGCCGGGGCATGGTCAACCACCCAAAAAAAAAAAGCATCAGATAATACAAATCCTTTACAGACACCCCAGACACGACTTCTTCCCCATACTGAAGCAATACAAGCAGAAATGCCAAAATGCAGTGCTCATAAAATGTTGAGTGTTTCATATCCTTCAAATATTCCTTCAGAGATTTCAGTAGTAAATGCCCTTCTCAAACTTTTGTTCGCAAAATTCTTGGTTTGCTTTAAACGCAACTGACCACCGCAGGTACTTTGTCCCCCACTGTTAGAATTTATCTGCAGCCTGAAGGGTCACCATAAACCACACTTTTTCCAATTTAACCTGCAGTTAAAACGTGTCCTCGTCTCTGCTGCAACAGCCGGTCCTTCTTTTGTGAAGGAAACTCTGAATACAGCTTGGATCCTCTCCTACTCAAAGGAGTTTCCTTCCTCTCAAACCCTGAGGAAATGGCCTGCCAACACGACGTAAACAGAAAGCAGGATAACTTTCATTAACATCAGAGGGAGACCTTCTCTGGGAAGCAAATCCACATTTAGTGAAACTTAACAATTGATAATTAATAGGCAGGTTGAGAGAGGCAGGTTTAGAAATGAACGCTTCTTCCTTCACCATCAACACTTCTGCTTGGACGCTCAGAAGTGATTAACATCACCAGGAGCTTCCTGTTTGGGAACTGGAGAAACTGCCTCTCCGCTCCAGCCCCACAGACACTCCCTGGGCCCTCGGGACGGCATCCACCCCACCGCAAATTCCACAAATT